AGAGAGTAGTTAATGAGCATACAGTAGCTGATAAATATGAAAAATATTTAAAGGAGCTTCATGATACTACTTGTAAGCCTACTTGCAATTAACTCATCATACACTCTTCTCTCTATCATATTATTGTTTCTTTAGATACACCACCATCTACTGAAGCAGTTTCTATTCTTCAAAGGAATATTCAATCATTGAATGAAGCTGTTGTCTCTCCTGTACAAGTGTCTCAACTGTTATACTGTAAGAGATGTATAAGTGAAGCTACTCTGGATAAAATGGAGAGGATAGATCAGAGGAGGTCAGTGGATGACAAGAAGACCACTCTATTGACTGGCATGCAAGAAACAGTGTCTAGCGACTACAGGAAACTTAAAGATATTGCTACAGTGCTGTCTGATGTTAAAGAAACAAGAGATATAGCCAATGAAATCATGACCAAATATGGTAGGACATTGAATATTTTACCATTATAGAGCTGTTGCACGGATGTAATCAATGGGGTAGGCGGAGCTTCCTGTCGGCCATCTTGAGTGGCAAGAATGCACACGCAACGAATGGAGGAATGGAAACAAACTGCGATTTTTCATCAAAGAGATATCATACTTCGCTGCAGAATATTATAGAGACTTCTTTACTCAATATCTTCATCTCCTATCTTGCATTAGCCTGGAATGTCAACTGCAGAATTTATTTAAATTTTTTTCTCCATTCCCCCATTCATTCTTGGCCTTCTTGCCACCCAACATGGCGGACAATTTAGCTCAATTTTAGCCACACCCTCCCATTGATTACTTCCGTGCAACAGCTCTATATAAATACTATTATAATGATTATAGAAGAGAAAATTTCTCAAGAGGATGATAGTACAGTAGTACAACCACAGGAGGGAGTAGGCGGTAATGAAGATCTTGCTAGTGATATATTGAGGAATAATTACAGTGCTCTCTCTCAGTCAATTACTCAACCAGTTCTTATGGCAACGTTGCTTTATAAAGAGGTTATATCTGATGAGGTTCTGTCTTGTGTCATGTCTACCAGAGGTTCTGTGTCTGACAGTAGAGCAGTTCTCCTCAAAGCTGTACGAGATGCTGTTCACTCCAATTACAAACACCTGGAGTTGTTTGTTACTGTATTGAGGAAGTTCTCAGAGACTGCTCATATTGGAGATACTATCTTTGAAGAATACAGTGAGTGATAAAGTACTACAATAATATCATACCTTTATTATTTATTAGGTCAGTATTTTCATGACAAAGACAATACTATGGAAGAGATGGAGACTTACCTAACAGAAAGTATTGTGAATCATTTATATTTAATTTTTATTAACGTTGCTATAGGAAAATCATTAAGAGGTGCTTCTTCTGCTGAATCAGGAAGTGAGCATTTATTTATTATTATTTATATATGAATATTACACTTAAATAGGTGAATCATCTAAAGAAGTTAAAGAGACACTTGGCAGACATAAAATCCTTTTTCCTCGTAGTATGGAAGAAAAGTTCCAAGAATTGAGAATAAAGTTTGGCTCAACATTTTTCCAAGTTCGGCGCAATTTTGCTAAAGATCAGAATTTAAACATTGATGAAATGAAGCTATTAGTCATTGATTGCTTCCCCGATCTTAGTTCTCAAGTTTTTAACAAGAAGACAATCAATGGAGTACTGGAGGTGGTGAAGACAAAATGTAATATCATTAACATGCGTCCATTAGAAGTATTAACTGTAGAATTCAACATAAAAGAAGCTGAAAAAGTCATAAAAATCTACAAAGAATATGCTAGAGATTTCTGCAAGTCAACATCTATCCAGTTATGCCTCGACAAAGAGCTTCAAGCAGTTCGTACTCCTTCTCGTCTCAAAAAAGAAACTGTTATATTTATTCTTGAATGGAACCCGAATGAATCAACACTGCAAGATATCAATGATGTACTTGAGAAGCTGGAGCCACTGGAAAACTATCATATTCATATTCAAATTGATACAATTAAAACTGGTGGATCAGTTGTAGTCACCTGCTACTGTCCTGCTGAATACACTGGCTCACTGATAATGGGTGTCCTTGGTAAGATAGAGATACTGCAAGAGAAAGGATTGAAGGAGTTCAAAGTAGGCAACTGTACTATATGGAACAATACTGCTCATGAGGTATGGTTTGAACAATTGACAGTTTTCATTTTATTATTATTATATTACCCACGTATATTAAAGGTATTATCAGCAATGACAACTAAAGAAATGGAGCAACCTACCAAAAAGACGGTTAATAATTATGAAGGTATACAGTAACCTGTGTAATATTCAGCCTCTTAATGTGGTTTATATACACATAGACATGGAGAGAGATCTATTGTCAATGAAGCAACAGTTAGCTGAGAAGGAGAAACAAGTACAAGAACTTGAAATGAAATTACAAACAAAACAAGAGAAAGAAGATATACATATATTACCAACAGGTATAGGTCAACTAATGAGAGTGAGTATTGATCTAATGATGTAC